TATACTCATTGCATCTGATTTCATCTCAAGTAGGTGGATGGGTAGTGCCATGACTTCAGATACCACTCCCAATTATTATTTGCTTTCCCCACACAGGACCCATATACCTGATCTTCCAGTACTGCTGTTATGGAGATCTACTGAACTACCTGAAGACAAACAGGGAGCACTACCACAAGTCTGTGACCGATGCTTTCAACAAGGACCGTTTCAGCAGCATTTACCACAACCTGCAGCCAAGGAAAAGCTCCAGGTGGGAATAATATGACACACAGGATGGAAAGAACATTATTAGGGATAGTTTGGCAGTGAGGGCAACAAAGGGAAAATCAAACATTAGATTCTACAGAAGTACAGGAATATTTGCTCAACCACTGTGTTGGAAGTTTAACATTTCAATAACAATCATGGTCTTGCTTGTGTTTTCACAGTGAGCTCAACCAAGCAGTGGACAATTACGTGCCCATGCACAGCTCTACCACCAGAGGGCAGGAGGACATCGTCCTCCTCACCATCAACTCTGGTGACATGGACAGCTTTGAAGGTAAGAAAGTCCCACCTGATGTCAGAACATGCATGTTGTCAAACAGATACACTAATATATTATCACAGTTGTCTGAGCGTGGGGTGACAGATCTCTCAAAGCCATGCTGATCCCCACTGATCCAACTTTATCTGCAGACCCAGTGATCTATGAGGACCCAGACGATCAGACAGAGGACCTGCAAACCCTGACCTTTGATGACCTGCTCAACTTTGCCTACCAAGTGGCCAGAGGCATGGAGTTCCTGTCCTCCAAGAATGTAAGAGACAAAGGGCCACACTGCGGAAACCCTTTACACTGACATCTGTCAAGCCCAAGTGTCAAACTGCAGTCACAGACGTGGTTTATGTGTGGTGTGAGTGAAGTAAACATCCTGATGATAGGATCTGCCTGTCTGCAGTGTATCCATCGAGACCTGGCTGCTCGAAACGTGTTAGTGACAAAGGGCAGACTGGTGAAGATTGGTGACTTCGGACTGGCCCGGGACATCGACAACGACTCCAACTATGTTGTGAGAGGAAATGTATGTCAGATGATATTTTAAATTTACAACATTCATCAGCTGCTAAGTTCTGTCTGGATTCTCATCACCTCTTACTCAATATGTGCATGACTTGGCTTTGCAGGTGCGTTTGCCAGTGAAGTGGATGGCACCAGAGAGTACCTTTCAGGGCATCTACACCATGAAGAGTGACGTCTGGGCTTATGGCATCCTGCTGTGGGAGATCTTTTCACTTGGTACTCTTTGCAAGCACACTTTATGAGCAGCACATTTTCAAAAAAACACAAAATCATCAATGATTAACACCACCTCTGTCTGTGTAACTCTCAGGTGTTACTCCATACCCGGGCATGAAGGTGGATCACACATTCTATTCAATGATTGAGAGAGGATTCAAGATGGAGTGTCCATACTACGCCAACGAGTCTGTGTAGGTGTCTTCTGTCTGATTTAAAACCAGATCAACACTGTCGTGATAAAGTAAATATTTTAATCATTTGCTCAATAATTACAATGAATAGTAGCGGTAAAAACTGTATGAGACAGTATAAATGTGCATGCAGATATAGATTTGTGAATGCATGGCAACATCTTCAGTCAGTGATCGAAAGTAATTAAGTCCATCAAGAACTGTAGTTTAGTACAATTTTGAGGTACTAGTTACTTTTCATACAACAAAAATGCCCAAAAAAATAAAAATAAAAAATCCACCTATGCACCCTCTAAAAAATAGTCCACTGGTTCAACTTAAAAAAACTAAGGTAACAATTTGCATGTATCTTTTTAAGTAGATCCAACTCTGGCATTACTGAAAACTAAACTCAATTAGTTCAGTACAACCAACATGATTTGCTTGAGCTCAGTCTCACTCCGAAGTCATCGAAATCCTGCGCTTGGGCAGTGACTTGCGGCGACAGGAACTAATGAAACAAGACATCCTTTAACATCAGCATGATTGCTGTTATAGCTCAAAGGTGCCCGGCGGCATCAGGGGGAAACGTGGTGGGACAAGGACGAAAGTTAAAGTGGTGAAGGAGGGTGGTGGATGGGTCAAACAAACACCAACTTTCACCTGTGAGATAGGTGTTCGCATCCTGTAAGATTCTAAACCCTGTTCTTTTTTCCTAAACCTAACCACATGCTTTTGGTGCCTAAACCTAACCATGTGTGTTTGTTGTTGAAGGGAAAAAAAAACATCTATTTGCGGTGTTGCACCAATGTAGCACGTTTATTTCTAAAGAGACTGTATAGATGTTACATTTCCTGTGAAAACAGAAGTGTATTTTGAAAGAAGCGTTGCATGTAACAGGCAGAGCTTGACATGGTGTCCAAGAAAGTCAACAACCAACACACCTAGGGTACTTTGCACGTCTCTTGTAGACGTGGAAAGTCCATGACCAAAAATAACTGAGAATCCAAACACAGGACAGTATCTCACCACTTTCCTCCATGTTTCTCTTCTCCAGGTATGAGATCATGTGTAAGTGCTGGGCTCTGGATCCCTCCAGCCGGCCGTCTTTCTCCAAGCTGGTGTCCTTTATGTGTGACCAGCTTACAGACAGAGAGGAGAAGGTAGGCCTGTAGGAGGTGAAACTATTCTATCTAAAGCAAAGTTTTATCTTTTTCACCTCCACAGCTTGACAGACATGTAAATATATATCTAATCTACGAGTATATCCTTCCTCTTTCAGCTCTACCATAACATGCTCGACCAGACATCCAGCGACTACCAGAACACAGCAGCTGTTTTGGACATTTCCGCCCTGACAAAACAGAATGAGAACAAGACGCAGTCAGCCAACAATTACTGTCAAACTCATGCCACAGAGGAAAGCGAGGCAGAGGTGTCCGACACAGATGCCGCAGCAGCCGAGGAGAAGCTTGTGAAGCCATCTGATACAGAGTGATCACTGAATGCTAATGTTCAAACCATTTTATCTATATTTTTATTTAAGATATTTCTTACAGCAGTAATCTCGAGAGTAACAATAGGATGCACTTGCTTTATATTTTTATCAGAATATTATAACAAAACAAGGTTTTTATTATGTATATGGGATTTTAATGGACTATATTCTTACTATGAAAATGTGGTCTGAGTGTAAATACAGTCTTTTTGTTTTATATTCTTATTTTGTGCAGCTAGGTAGACAAAGATTTCTGCACACTTATATCTACACTGCATGTAAGTGTGCAGAAATCTTTGTCTACCAGTTTGGACTTATTGGTGTTTCCAGCATCTTGCCAAGACCAAGCCGGGTGGAGCTGTGGTTGTTCTGCACCATCTATATTGTGCAGCTAAAAATTAAAACAGGTTCATAAATCTATCCCAAATATTCTCAGGACTATAGACATGTAATATATGGAGTTATAATGTGTTTTCTGGATTAAGCCTGTAGCAACTGATAAAATTCTGGTTTAAGATTTTATCACATACATATCATGTATCACATATATTGTTATGCATTTGAATTTGATGGTACTTTTGATGTTGTTGTTGTCTCTTACATTAGACAGCTAATGGCAGCTATTACGTGCAGATTAAACCCAATTTTTAAACTATTTTGAAATATTGTAGCAGATTTTGTATCAGGTGTCTTTGTTTGTGTTTGTTTAAGCATTTTACCTGCAATAAAATGTACTTTACAAGTTGAATAAAAAATTGGTGATCACAATGTAGATGAGCTTCATGTGTCTAATCTGCCAACAGTTCAACCGAACAGGGGATGTTTGCCTATCCTATTGTTTTATTTGAGTAACTTCCAACTTCCCGAAGAGGAAGAAATGCTATGTACTAGTATGTACTGTAAGTAAGTAAGAATAAGTTTGTACTAAAATGTACTTAGTTACATTCCACCACTGCAGGCAATAAAGCCCTGTAAATAAAGGTCCTGCTGTAGGCGACTGTGGACAGCAGGGGGCGTCGTTTTCCCGTCTCTGAGCAGTGAGCAGAAAGCGGAAATGCAGGAAGTTCACCTGTTCACCTGAGAAAGGTCAGGTCACAGCTGCATATACTTGTTTACCTGGGAGAGGCTGCTGTTTCACATGGTGAGAACATTTATGGATAAGAAGCACAAACACGTAAGTAGTTATACTTTATTTAGCAGTGAGTGTGGACACATTTGTTTCCTTTTTGAAATTAAGTTGCTTTTAATTTTGAAAGGTCAGCACAGGCAGGCCTACAGTAGGCCCTGTAGTGGTTTTACAGGGCGGTGTTATGAATGTTTTAATGTTTTCAGGGCTGCTTCTGCATTTGTGCTGGATTTATTTTTATTTTTGCGAGCAATACCTGTTTTCGTTTTTGTGAACTGGAAACAATTCCTTCACTGGAAGCCAAGCCATGTTTTACTTTTTATTGTATAGCCTGGCAAAGGAGCGTAAAACTGTGGAGAAAATAAAGATTTAGGGACCTTTTTGTGCACAGATGTCTTAAATGAATAGATTTTTTTTTTTACATTGATTTTATCCTGTGGACCTTCTTGTGGCTTTCTAGCCCAGTTACACTGGTGCCTTTCAAGAAAATAAAGATCCCACACATTGCAGAAAAAAATATATAAATACCTCTTTTAAAGACCAAAAATACACCAAAACAGTTTTAAATTGTGTTTGTGATTTAAACTTCCTGTCTCTTCCTTTTTTTCTTTCTTTCTTTGTGCACTAGGAGATGGAAGAGATCCGTCTGCATGTTGGAGAAGCATCCTAAATTTTCATCCCCATTTGGCCCTCGCCTTTAAAATGAGTTTGTAGGATTTAGGACATCTGTTGGCTTCCTTCCACAGTCCAAAGACATGCAGGTTAATTGGTGACTCTAAATTGCCCGTAGGTGTGAATGTGAGTGTGAATGGTTGTCTGTCTCTATGTGTCAGCCCTATGACAGTCTGTCCAGGGTGTACGGCCCCTGGCTCCAGCCCCCCGTGGCCCCCAACAGGATAAGCAGTTATGGTAAATGAATGACTGAATAGATGTTTGCAAAAATGGTATATAATATTTATGTGTTTTCTGTAGTTTATAATCATCTGTTTAAGTTCTGCAACCTCACCACTAGCTGCCGCCCTGCACACTGGACCTTTAAAGTCTTCAGCAAACTCCACTTTTCAGCCTTAAATGATTTGCAGATGATCTGGCAGAGAAAATATTAACCACAGCCAGGCTGCAGGGGGCTGGTTCTGTGTGTCCAAAAGTGCATTAACCCTTGTTGCAAAGTGACGTCCGAAGGTCACTGAACACTGCCTGTGCAACTGAAGAGTCTCCACATGAGCATGGACATCGCCGCAGTGAATGCTCTCCCTTATGAGGATTTTGTGAATATTTTGGGGAACGTGGTGGAGAGATGTCCCATTATAACAGCTGCTGTGTGGTCGAGGCGTCCCTTTTTGAGCGTTAGTGATTTGGAGGGTGCAATCAGTGAGTTCATCGATGCTCTCCCAGAATCAGGTGAGATAGGCCTACAGTCTGTTAACTTTGTCAGATTTTGGGTGGCTGATTAATGGAATGACAATAACCAGCTGCTGTTTGTGTGCAGGCAAAGAGGGGATCCTCAGGTGCCACCCGGACCTCGCGGGCAGGGACCTCCAGAGCGGCACCTTGACCCGTGAGTCACGCCAGGAGCAGGCAGGCGCCGGGATGGATGCACTGAACTCCGCGGAAGCCTCGCGCATGGCCCGGCTCAACCAGGAGTACAAGGAGCGCTTCGGGTTCCCGTTTGTCATCTGCGCCCGGATGAACGACAAGGCGAACATATTACGGCAGCTGTTCGAGCGCTGCCAGAACGAGCGCGCGGTGGAGAGGGCGCGCGGAATAGAAGAGGTGAAGAAGATATGTCGCCTGCGTCTGCAGAGTCTCGTGCTCACTGACGCACCAAACAGGCTATGAAAATGTAATAACTGGATTTTTATATGTACTTCTGCTGTGCCGGTGTAAAGAGTAAAGACTGCCATTGCTCCAAGGCATGTATAGGCTGTGATATTTACTTTATTCCAAATTTATCATGTGTTATTCATGCATCATACTGTACAATGAATTCTGCAATAAAATATGTGTTGATTCTAATTTAACAATTTACATGCTGCCTTAAATATATACATTTGGACGTGGAAAATGTTGTAAATAGTCATATTACGCATATGTACATTAATAAGTTTCTTTGTAGTGTAGGTGAAAAACAACACATTGTAAAAGTTGAACAGTTTGTGCAACTGCATCCATGTTGTAGCCTCTTGTCCTGCATGATTTGGTTATCTCAGCATGCCATCTGGTACACAGAAAGCCCCAAAACACGCATGAAGAAATGGTGAAGACAGGTCCCTCCAGTCCAGCAAATGACAGACAGGTGTATCCAACAGGGGGTCTAGATGGTCCTTGAGAAAGTTCAAAGGGGGTCCCGGAAAATGAGCACTTTATTTTAATACCACAACTCTATGAGAGACTTTCAGGTTTCACTCTCCATTATTAATATGAACCTTAAAGGACTCCTATAAAAATCCTCTCAAATGTGGATTTAAAGTCTCTACAATAAAGAAACCCATGAGTTAAAGTCCCGAGGACCTCCTGCAGGTCTATGCGAGCTCTCTGGCCCCAGCTGCAGACAGGGAGTGACCGTGCAGCGGGGAAACAGGAGGTGAGCTGGAGGTGACCCCTCCAGCGGCCTCCCCCTGGTCCCCGGAGCTGATGGAGGAGTCCTGGTCCGGGTCGGCCCCCCTCGCTCTCCGTCTGTCCTCCTCCTTCTTCCACTTCATGCGCCGGTTCTGGAACCAGATCTTGATGTGGCGCTCGGTGAGGCTGAGGGTCAGCGCCAGCTCCACGCGCCGCGGCCTGGAGATGTAGCGGTTGAACAGGAACTCCTTCTCGAGCTCCAGCAGCTGGGCGCGCGTGTAGGCTGTCCTCGTGCGCTTGTTCTCCTCTGATTCCGCCATCACGTACGGTCCTGGAGACAAGGAAATCATTTTATTAAAGGCATTTGAAAGTTTGTTATTTACTTATTTGAAAAAAACTCAAGTAAAGTCACTAAATGCATTTTATTAATTATCATAAAGGGAGAATTTATTTTTAATTAACTATATAGCCTACTGATAGGGCTTATTAGAAGTGCATGGGTTAGATTCTGACCTCTCCAGCAGGCAGCTGCAGAAACCACAGTGCATATTTGTCTTCAGATAGCCGGTAAAATAAACACTTATTCACTTGTAATGTCAAAGGGAACTCACAATTAGAATATTTGAGGTTTACCCAAAAAAAATACGCATTATATCATAATCCAAGTTGAAATTTGGGATCAACATGTGATTTGAGGACACGCTAAAGCTGTTCTCGTGGAAATCTATTGTTTTTAATTCCATTTCTTCCCAAGATTATGTTGTAAATTACGTTGGAGTTTAACATTTTGGATAATCTGTGGTTGCAAATTGTTGTTTCCTCTTACTGTGAACAAAACATAATATTCCCAGCTGTGACATTTAATTTGAAGTCATACCAGTGAATAGATGCTACAAATATTGATAGATACGTTTATTTGATATCTGAGATTTGAGATCATTTTGATGTGGTTTAGTCGCTGAGACGTTCACGGAATGTTTTTTCCTCTATAGTTTTAGAAGACAACGGTTAAACAAGTAACATTTTAAAGGCTATAAAGTCACCAAATTGCGCCAATTTTTCAGGATCCTGATTCACTGAAGTCCTAAACCTGATGAGAACCACCGTTTGGTGAATTCACCTAGTTCAGGAATGACCTATATCTCACTGTCAGCCTCAAAATGTCACCATATCACATATCAACATTCAAGGCAGCCATGCCAAAAATATTTATTCCAGAATCATTTTTATAGTGTGAGTAGACCTAAATATATCAGCCTAGCCTACATTATGCAGTTCGTATTTCTATTCATGCGTTGTTGGCTTTAAAATGCTGCTCTTTACAAACCTCAAATCAAAACGCTCAGCTGGTGTAGTATCTGTAGCGGGACAGACAGGTGCTAACCTCTGTGACAATGACAAAAATATATTTCTTTCCTTCTAGAAATGTCTTTTTGTGTTGAATTCAAATTTAAATTTAAATTTGGGACTATGCCAAAACAGTAATTTATAGTTTAGCCATATTTTTAATTAGTCTTTAGGTAGGTCAGATAATTATAGATTTAATTGCAACCATTTTTGTGAATGTAAACCACTGACAGTATAAATGTCTATCAAATCAAAGCACGACGAATGACAGCTTTGACCCTTGGCGCCCACTTTATTAGCTTTGTAGTTTTCGCATGCCAGCCTCTTGGTGTCACCTTGTCCATTCCAAAACTTAAATTCAATGGAATTGTGCTATCTAATTTTAAAAGTCATTGACATATCTTTAGTACACTATAATAACCAGTCACAGCAACTGTGCGTAAAATGTACCCAAAGTAGGCCGCAGTGTCACAGGAAAGGATCCTGTAGTTAACACGGAACTAATGAGTTTTTAAAAAAAGTTTTATATCAAATTAGTAACGCGGAATAAACATATGTACAACCGGCTGAAACTTTTCTCTGATATGACAAAAGTCATGAGAAGCCGAAGAAACTTAGTGGTGTGGTGCGTTCACGTTTTTCTCTGGAGCGTTCATTTGAAAACAAACTTAAAAAGGCATATTATTAAAGATTATTGTATAGTCTAATTGAGTCCAAATTATTCATAATTAAATTCTAAAGTCAAACAATTTATTTTAATATAAAATATCTTTTTGTCATATTACCCGGCCTACAGCCATGAAAACAGATTGTGGTGTATTCTGGTGTTTTAACGGCCTATTATGGCCCTGCTCTATAGACCTATACAGCCTATTGATGGTTTAAGATAGGGCCATTTGTGATTATGTTTTGTATAGACAAAACCCACATTTTTGTGACGATAAGCCCTGATAAAAGCCAGCGCTGACCTTCCGGGCCTTTTACAAATTGAGTGACAAGGTAAACTGAAACACCCAGGATCATATTGTTGGGAACATGATGTCATTATAGGCCTCAGAAAGAGTCAGATGAAACTCATGTTAATGCTATGACTACAGCTGTAAACAAAACTGTGCCTGTATTTGCTGATTTGAGAAGCAGATTCAGTAAGTGATCTTATACGCATGATTCTGTGATATGTGGCGGTTTGGATGAGTTACCTGCCCACTGTCCCTTCCAGGTGTGTGAGTGAGATTTCGTGGTTTTCATCCAGGGGAAAGGGAGGTGGTATCTGCTCTGCTCCCCCGTGTCTTCATACCCTGCGGCAGGCAGGAGAGGCTGCTGCTGCTGGAGCCCCTGAGGATGGTGGAGCTGAGGCACACCTGGATCCTCCCGCATGGGTAGACTGTAGGGGCCAATGTCAGGAAGGCTGGCCGGTTCCAAGGCTCCCATGGACGGCGGTGTGTAGACAGAGTGCACCTGCCTGCTCATGTACAGGCAGGGCGGCGGGCTGTGGCTGTAGTCCTCCCCCTGTGATCTCTGGTAGGCACAGGAGTCTTTAAAAACCTGAGAAGGGTAATAATGATCTTCCCGATTCATGGCTTCCGAGGACCCGCAACATGTACCGTACCTGCGCCCTGCCTCGGCGTGGACCTTCTGCTCCACCTGTCTCTGGCGCAACTGCAAGGCCCTCACGGCTCCACACAGGTGTGTCACTCTGCCACCATGTGACTGTGCAGCGCCAAAGCCATTGGTTTCACTGTTTGCAGACCTACAGACTCAGTTTCCAGCTTGTGGGATTTTTCAGTAAATTGAACAGAACAGCCGCGTAAATCAATGCCACTCTGTAAATACCGCAACGTTTACCTGGCACCCACCTGTGTTTGCCCCTACAGCTGCAAGGGAACAGGTGAGTCTGCCTCCAGAAAAGAGGTCCTTAATGGTCTGGAGCAGACGAAAAAAACATGTTACTCTTGCAGGACTTGTAGGGTTGTTCTCAAACAATGTGTCATTGACAATTTATATGGATTTATCTCCGGTGTGCGCTCTGCGGCTGATTAATCGATATGTATGGGCGCAAACATTGGTTGACCTGCCAGATAAGAGACCTGGATGGAGACACAGTTGTCTTGGAAACTCGGGTGAGAAGCTCAAACACCATGGTCTATTTTCACAACCTTTTTTTCATTTGTCTACACCTTTCTGACTTTTAAAATGGACCCATTACACTTCTGCAAATGCATCATTTAACACCATTTAGCGCGCGTGGGCCCTGCGCGAGCGGCCCTCGGCGGTGACAAACACACAGCCGCTGCACTCTCGCCATGTTTGCTGGCCATTAGCCTTCAGCGGGTGTGTGTCCGCCCCATTAAACCGCAGCTCTCGTGGTAAACCAATTAAGGCTGGAGTGAGCAACAGAACTCAATTAACGGGGCGTGCGTGTGGAGCGTGTCTCCACAACCCGCGAGCTCATGTGCGCCTTTACGCGACATTTGGAGCCTCTGGCACATGATGGGAGTGATTTACCTATTTTTCACGTAAACCGTGCAGCACGGCGGGGCTTTTACCCTGATAGTGTGTATCAATACTCACTATTTGCACTGAGTTCTTCAAAAGCAATTATGGCACTTTCCACGGTATCTTAATGGGGCACTCGGCGGCGCAATAAAGTTCAAGTAAACCAATTCTATACAAATCACCCCCTGCACTATGGCTTAATGGTGTTTATATTTGATCATTGTTTCAAACAGGAAGGAAACAGTTAACCCGAGCGATTTCCCCACTACAGTGGAGATGGACAATGTGATTTATGGAGCATGAGAGGCGTTAAACGCATTTTAACGGGCAGAATTTGGCGTAATGGCTTCAGCGAGGAATAATGCATCTTAAATGCAGATATAGCAGATCTATGACCAAGGAGAATGACAGATGCCACGTTTTTAAAAAGCTGTGTGTGGAACAATAAAGGGGTGTGAGCTCACACACACTGAGACAGGCTAAATGGATGGTGAAGATAAAAACAGCAACACTTTGAACGCTTGAGCACATGCCCATCTGTTGTCATGAAATCCCAGTGACCCCACTAAAACATGCAGAAATCCAAAATGTATGACCTGAGTCACTCAACAGTTACTATTATTATCATTATTACTACAATAAAGTTATTGTTGTTAATGACCACTAATCCGAGACCACTTGATCACAGGACACATGTAGGAGTGTCAGGAAAACAAGACTTTTTTTCTCCTTCCACAAACAAAAGCGTTTCTGATAGCCGGTGTACACATGTCAAAAAAAGTTGGACACGATAAAATGTGCTTACCCAGTGGCGACAGCAACACGGCTTATGTAAACATCATGGCTGGTGAATAATGACAAAAGAATGGTAATGACACTTTAATTGGAATCAAACCTCCTCTACTGTAGGTGAAACAGAATTACACCAAACCATGAGTCATATGGCGTGAACATGTGTCTAAAAAAAGTTCCTTGGGATTTCCTGGACTAAAATGGCCACTTGTTTATTCACTTATCTTAAGTGTAAAATCAGAAGGAAAGATATCATCTTGGCTGCTGGCTTCATTACCAGTTTAAGGGAACCAAATGAACCTCACGAACTATAAAAATGGCTGTAAATAAAAGTGTCAGTAATCTACTTTCTAAGAAGAACACTCTCCATCAGCTGGACAAATGTCTCTTCAGTCTGCCAGCAGCAAGTCTGTGAGGTGCGTTAGCCAGTCAGAGAGCAGTTTCAGTGGTGTCCACCTCTGGGCTGCCTGTACAGGGAGTGGCCTCTGTAAAACCAGAGTTCCTCCCCTGGACAGAAGTCTTTATTCATGAAGTCTGTCTTTGTCTCTGTCTCGGCCATTTCTCCCATGTCTCCGGTCTCTGTTGTCTTTGTGCCTGTAACTCCTGTCTTTGTCTCTGTCCTGATTCTTATCTTTGTTATTGCAGCTGTCCCTGTGATGGTGTTTATGGTCCATGTGGCCTCCTTTGATCCTGTGATCTCTGGGGGGTGTTCTGCTGCGGTCGCGGCTTCTGTGCGGGGACTCGCTTCTCAGGCGCCCTCTCTTGGTGGAGTGTCCGTGCTTGGGCTCACTGGTGCGCCGCTGCAGGCCAGTGGAGCGCAGGGTGTTGAGGAGGAAGCGCTTGTTGGTGCTCCGCAGGGGACACTTCAACCTGAGAGAGGAGGGAACAGAAAAATGTTTAAACTCCTGTGACCTATGGATGGTCATCACTGGCTTCTAGAGGCAGGGGTGTAAATATAGGCAGTGCAGTGAGGCTGCACTGGGGCCCGGGGGTGGGGGCTATAGAGAGAGGACCCTCCAACTGTGTGTTTGGGTGGAGAATGGATCCTTGCAAGTTAATTTGATTGTCATCTCAAATATACAACTATGTATATATGTATATGTATATATGTTTAAACTCATGTCAAATTCATTTCACGTCATTTTTTTTTTGAGGGTGGGGTGGGGGCTTAGTCAATAGTAATTAGGGCTGGGCATCAGTACTCGATACCTTTAAGGTTAATACCTTCAGGGGTGTAGCCATCATTTCAGAAGTGAGGGGGACAGATTGTTCAGGTGTAAGAATATGTTTTTTTTGGTTTCTTTGGTTTTTTTGATGATTTATTGAAATATTCTCTCAATTGTGTATCTCATAGCAGCCAAGAAACCAAACCAAATACCCCAAAACACCTGATTACTATTGAAAGAGGTCGTCTTCTGCAGTGGGCAGCCGCAGTACAGCACATGGGGACCAACTCCTGTTCTTTACTTAATTATCAAAATCATTAAGAAATTAAATGATGAGATAAACAAAGTAGCAGTTGCCGCTGTTATAAACCAAAAAGAAGAAGAAGAAAAAGTTTTTTCAAAGAGAGTTTGGTGTGTGAGCACCTTACCAACACTTAAAGGACTGTGGGCACTGAGGTCATGTCCTCATGATCTTTTTCTGGGAAGTTGGGGGTTTAGCAACATGTAGGAAGTTACATTTTATGGTTAAAAGTAGCACATCATGGGTATTTACAGGCTATTTCCATTAAATATCCACTCACATTGTTAAGGGTAGCAGAGGGACTGAAGCTTATCCCAGCTGACACTGGGCGAGAGACAGGGTACACCCTGGACAGGTTGTCAGACTATCACAGGTTGACACACTGAGAAGGACAACTATTCATGCTCGCAGTAACACCTATAGGAGCCCTGAGGAAACCCACGCTGACATGGGGAGAACATGCAAACTCCACAGAGAGGGACCCCTGACAGGTAAGTGGGTTTGAATCCTATTGCTGTGAGGCCACAGTGCTAACCACTGTACCATCCTGCTACCTGGCTATTTTCATTATTAGGTACGTTATCAATTTACTACTTTTAGACCAACAAATACGTAACTGATTCAGTATATGCCCACCATAGTTTAAAAATAGAAATAGAAAGGACAAATTAACTAAAATAACTATGATCCTTATGAATCCTGGCTATGACCTGACTCATACTTACTCTAAAAAAGGCACAAGTCATCATCAATCATTGATGACTGCTCCTACCACTGGTAGAAGGCCCCTGGTAGACCCAGAACACGCTGGAGGGATTACATATCTCATTTGGCCTGGCAACGCCTTGGGGTCCCCAAGGAGGAGCTGGAAAGCATTGCTGGGGAGAGGGATGTCTGGGGTGCTTTGCTTGGCCTGCTGCCCCCGCAACCCAGCCCCGGATAAGTGGATGAAAATGGATGGACTGATTAACTAACTAATGGCAATCCATTCAATTTGCTTTGAGTATTCTAAATTCCACATTCACCAAGATGAAATGAACAACAAGGGTGAGTAACCAGTGCATTTAGCTGTATATTCCGGCTAAATCTAATATCTCAACATTTATCAGTATCATCACTGTGATATTTTGGGGGATGGATAACAATTACACACAATAACATTTTAACAAAACATTAGTAAACTGGCTACAATCATGTTAATTGCACTTGTCTGGAACAATATGTTAAGATTAGAAAGGTAAATAAATATGCTGTTTTCCAAGGGAGATATAATGCCATATTATGCGGGGCTATGATTTGTGCGAAGCTTTTGTCTAAGTCAGTGATTCCCAACTTGTGGGTCGCAGTCCAAAATTGGGCCATGGGTCCATTCTGAATGGACCGCAAGAGACTCACAAACGTGTCAGGTTTGTAAAAAAAGGTGACATGTTTATTTTGAAGTACAGTGAATATCCGGCACAGACCTAACATTTTCAAGTGTTGTTTCCTGAGTGAGTGACTAACAGACAGCTTGATGACATGTCCAGATGCAGTGAGTGTATTAACCTGTGTGGACCTTGAAGTGATGACTAAGGAGAAATCTGGACCCCGTGGCTGGACCAGCTGGGAACCACTGGTCTAAGTGTTAGTCATTACTTTTGTTGGGTCTTACTAGTGTATATCATGTTTGTTGTAGTATTGTAAATACATGTATGTGGACCCTGGGAAGAGTAGCTAACAATAGCAGTTGAGCATATAAACAAACTAGCTGAATATAACACATGACAAATGGTGCATACTAGATCTTAACACACCACAAATAGGTGACACACTCAAAGAACACAATTTGCCCCAGTGCAAAAACAGTTTAGCAGTCACATATCCACAAATGACAGATGTTTGCACACTGATAGAGATAGCATGGCAAACACAGTGCTCACCATCCTGCAGGGCCCATGGTCTCTGCTCTCACTCGGGCCCTGTCAGTCTCCTTCAGGAGCTCCTCCACTGCTCGCCTGTATGGATAAATAAAGACACATTCAAAAATAAATCATGTGAAGGAGAGGAAACAGGGAGGAAGCTGAGGGCAAAGATAGTATAAAACCTCAAGAGGGAGCCAAGGGGAGAATAATCTAATTAAGTGAGAGAAAACAGAGTGATACAGAGTGCAGAGGAGAGAGTGAATCATTAGTGAGTGACTGAGGGACAGCGGCAGTGTCCCAGTTTGACCCGAGCTGCTGAATCAGCACAGTATCAGCAGAGG